CCTCAGCCTCCCAAAGGCGCAGGATTACAGGCTGAGCCACCGAGCCCGGCACAAAGTGATTTTTTAAAAAATTAAATCCAATCCTATTACGGCCCATGTAAAACTCCATCAATGACTTCCCACTGTTCTTTTTTTTTTGAGTCGGAGTCTCTGTCACCCAGGCTGGAGTGTGGTGGCACACTCATGGCCACCACAGCCTCAAAGACTAATTTTCTTGATTTATTGTAGAGACAAGGTCTCACCAAGTTGCCCAGGCTGGTTTTGAATCCCTGAACTCAGGCAATCCTCTTGCCTCCGCCTCCCAAAGTGCTGAGATTAGAGATTATAAGCGTGAACCACTACGTCCAGCCACAAGTCAATTCTTTTTCTTTTGTTTTGTTTTTTGAGTAAGTGTCTCACTCTTTGTGGCCCAGGCTGGAGTGCAGTGGCATGCTGATGGCCACTGCAGCCTCGACCTGCTAGGTTTAGGCGATCCTTCTGCCTCAGCCTTCCAAGTAGCTGGAACTATACGCCACCACGGGCTAGGACTTCCCATAGTTCTTAAGATAAAGCTAATGTCCATAAGATGACGTACAAGACCCTCCAGTCTGACCCCTTCTGTAGTTGTGCCTTATACTGCTATACCTTGGTTCTTCCCATCCTGATTTCTGTTTATCAAATATGTCATGTTGACCGGGCTCAGTGGCTCAATCTATAATCCCAGCACTTTGGGAGGCCTAGGCGAGTGGATTGCCTGAGTGGATTGCGGGTTCAAGACAAGCCCAGGTAAGATCTTGTCTCTACAATAAATCAAAAATTAACTGGTGGGGATGGGGTAGTGAGGGCCTGCAGTTCCGGCTACTTGGAAGGCTGAGGCAGAAGGATCTCCTGAGCTCAGAGAGTCAACACTAGGGTGACCGTGAGCATGCTACTGCACTCCAGCCTGGGTGAACAGAGTCAAACTCCAACTCAAACAAAAACAAAAACAAATATAGCATGTCTCTTAATGATTCATCCCCCTGGCTGGGTCATGCTTCTCTCTTCTTCATCTGGCTAATATCCATTTATCTTTCAAGTCTCTCAGTTTAGTGTCCTTATCTCTGGAAGTCTTTTCTGACCCCACAAGTTTAGGCTGGGAGCCCCATCTCTAAGCTCCCATAGAGCTCTCACCTTCTACTATCAAAGCACTTACCACAATGTTGTCCAGTGGCCTATTGACTTGTCTGCCTCCCCAACTCAGTTGTAAACTCTGTACAGAAAAGAGTTTGTTGGCCGGGCTTGGTGGCTCAGCCTGTAATCCCAATTGGGAAGCTGAGGCGAGAGGATTGCCTGAGCCCACGGGTTCAAGAACCACCTGGGCAACTTGGCGAGACCTCATCTCTACAATAAATCAAAAATTAGCCGGGGGTAGTAGCACGCACCTGTAGTTCTGGCTACTTGGAAGGCAGAGGTGGAAGGATCTCAGGAGTCCAGCAGTTCGAGGCTGCGGTGGCCAGGAGCATGCCACTGCTCTTCAGCCTGGGTGACAGAGTGAGACTCCGACTCAAAAAAACCCCAAAAAACAGAGTATGTCTCTCTGTATTAAATTCACAAGGTTAACACCTGGGGGGGGTAGGTGCTGAACAGACATTTATTGGATCTGTGGAAGTGTGGAAGATGAAAGAAGATTGAGTGATGTACTCAAAGAACAGCTAGGAAGCAGCAAACAGGCATTTAACCTAGAGCTCTATGATTCTAAAACTTAGTGCCTTTCCACTCACCAAAGCTTCTTAACATGTGTTGTGACATAGACACCTTTGATAATCTTGTGAAGCTTATGGATCCATTCTCAAAATAATAATTTGAAGAGCATAAAAGGCAAAGATCAATGCTGTGCAAAATAATTTTTAAAAAAAATTTAAAGGCAAAGGAAACGAATTACATTGATAAAGTTAATATGTTTAGCAAGTTCAGTGATTTGTTTTCATTTTGATGTAAAACATTGAATATGAGACAATGCATTCCAAATATAGGTAAGCTAAAGTTAAATTTTATTGTTTAAATATAAGAGTGTATCCAATGAATAGTACTGGAATAACCACATATACATAGAGGGAAAACATGAACCTTGATTCTTATCCTATGCCATATGCAGAATTAAGAGAAAAAAATGGATCATGGTCAGGCTCAGTGGCTCAACCTGTAATCCCAGCACTTTGGGAGGCCGAGGTGAGTGGATTGCCTGAGGCCGGGGGTTGGAGACCCATCCAGGCAACTTGGCGAGACCTCATCTCTACAATAAGTCAAAAAATTAGCTGGGCGTGGTAGCGTGTGCCTGTAGTTCCAGCTACTTGGAAGACTGAAGTGAAAGGATCGCTGGAGCCCTGCAGGTAGAGGCTGCGGTGGCCAGGAGCATGCCACTGCACTCCAGTCTGAACGACAGAGTGAGATTCCAACTCAAAACAAAAACAAAAAACAAACAAACAAAAAAAGGATCATATACCTAAACATAAAATCTAAAATGATAAAGCTTATAATAGGAAAATACATTTTAAGTCTTAGGATAAACAAAAATTTTTTTTACATGAGACCCAGAGAGCATTAATCAGAAAGAAAAATGATGATAAAATGAACTTCATCAAAATAAAAGGCTTCTGTTCATCAAAAGACACCATTAAGAAACTGAATAATAGCCGGGCTCAGTGGCTCAGCCTGTAATCCCACGCCTTTGGGAGGTTGAGGTGAGTGGATTGCCTGAGCCACAGGTTTGAGAACCGCCTGGGCAACGAGACCTCATCTCTACAATAAAAATCAAAAAATCAGTCGGGCGTGGTAGCACATGCCTGTAATTCCAGCTACTTGGAAGGCTGAGGCGGAAGAATTGCCGGAGCCCAGCAGGCAAGGCTGCGGTGGCCGGGAGCGGCCACTGCACTCCAGTCTGGGTAACAGAGTGAGACTCCAACTCAAAAAAAAAAAAAAGAAAGAAATTTAATAGTCAGGCCAGGCACAGTGGCTCATGCCTGTAATTCCAGCACCTTGGGAGTTCGAAACAAGAGGACTGTTTGAGCCCAGGAATTTGACACCAGACTGGACAACATAGCGAGACATCGTCTCTACAAAAAATAAAAATATTAGCTGGGCATTGTGGCATGTTCCTGTAGTCCTAGCTACTCAGGAGGCTGAGGTGGAAGGATCACCTGAACCCAGGAGTTTGAGGATCCAGTGAGCCGTGATCATGCCACTGCACTCTATCTGGGGCGACAGAGTGAGTCTCCAACTCAAAAATAAAAGAAATTGAATAGTCAAACCACACGCTAAGAGGTACATATATCTGACCAATGACATATCTAAAATATATATATATTTATATAATACATATATATTTATATAATACCCAAGAATAAATATATACCCAAGAATAAGAAACAGATGCACTCCAGCCTGGGTGACAGAGTGAGACTCCCAACTCAAAAAAAAAAAAAAAGAAAAAAAAGAAAAGGAGATGTTTCTAATTCTTATCAAAATGAAGATAATGCATTCCATTCTGTTTTTCCCACTGAATGCAATTTAAAACCTTGCACAGATGCATGGAACAGGATCTGAGAAATTTGAAAAGTAAATGATAGCAGGATTATGGGGTAAGGAGACCAGAAGTCAAAGAACTATCAAATCAAGGGCGAGTTTCCCAACTTTTCTCTACTGTTTATTTTCCCACCTTGAGTTAAAGACAGCCTAAAATGCAGCCAATCTGGAATTCTATGTCTAGTAAAAATATTCTTCAGGAATGAAGGCAAACTAAAGACATTCTCAGAGGAAGAAAAGTTAAGAGAGTTCATCACCAGCACACATTTTTAAAAATAAAGACTAAAGGAAGTTATTCAGGTTGAAAAGAAATGGTAACAGAGAAATGTCAGGATAAAGGAAAAGCAATAAAAGTGGTAAGTAGCAAGGTCAATACATAATAGACTACTTGTCTCCTTTTGAGTTCTTATAAATATATATGGTGGTTGAAAGAAAACATATAACATATAACATTGTCTGATGGGATTTCCAGTGGATGTAGATGGAATATATATGACAACTACAACATAAATGGGGGAGGGCAAAGGGACCTATAAGGTG